ATCAAAGAATTTAAGATTATCGTTAATCTATTCATGATCCAATGATCGGATTTAAACCAAATTGGACGACCTGTGTAATCGGTTAACGTGGTCCAAAGTTATGCGGGAACATACACAGAAAAAAAGTATAAAAAAATATTCCGACGAATTGATAACCTTATCCGTTTTGAAAAGTCGGTTAAAAACAAATACACCAGCAAGCTTTCAGCGTCAAATTATTTCAGGGTAAAATTGTCTAAGCTCCTAATAAACTTAAAGGAAATAATGAAATCATCAAAACAATTTCAGTCCACACATTAAAGCTAAAGGAGCATAAAGTTTGCATTGTGTTTTCTTGTTTTCGTAGACATTTGAAGAGTAGAGGTGCCGCGAAATTTTTTTAACACAACAAGGGTGCCGAGGTGAAAAAAGTTTGGGAACCCCTGGTATATAGTATACTTTATCCAGTAGCGCACCAGGGACTGACCTAGTCGACAAAATCGTATTTATGGTCCGATTTGCTTGAAATTACACGTATACGTATAACCTACTTATCAAAAATGGGCACGATAGGTGATACCGAAGTAGAGTTATGTGCTGTCGTATTTCTTAACCGAATTGAATGATTGTTTTACAGTTCGAAAGGTGTTTTAAGGCGCCGCAAAGCAAGCGGGTATTGGATAGTGGAATATAATAATGTATGTAATTATCAGTCGTGAATGTAGACAAATTTTCCACAGATGTTTGATCCGAACAGAAAACCGAACCACTTTTCAGAAAGGTTTAAAGGTTCGTGTCAACCAATTTACAATAGAAAAATTTACTCACTTTTTTCTTTTTGTTAAATATGGTAATACATACCACGTTTTTTTACCAAGTGGCAATATCAAATGTAATGGCAACCCAGATACTTGACACTTATCCTTGCGCGTTGTTGCACTTAACACTTGACAATTAAACTTGCGCGTTAATTATACCCGAGCGCACTTGTGCACAAGGGTATATTAATTTTGTTCACATAACGGTTGTTTGTAACAGCCAAAAAATCGAGATAGATATAGACAAATGTATACATAAATGATGAGGATGAAAAAAGAAATCGATTAAGCCATGTCTGTCTGTCCGTCCGTC